AGCAGTAGCTACGGATACGATTCTAAATCAAAAGGGTCAAAATGTAATATGTGTTTATGTAGCTATTGGTCAAAAAGCATCTTCTGTGGCTCAGGTAGTTACTACCTTACAAGAAAAGGGAGCCTTGGAATATACTATTGTGGTAGCCGAAATGGCGGATTCCCCTGCTACACTCCAATACCTCGCTCCTTATACAGGAGCAGCTATGGCTGAATATTTTATGTATCGTAAAAAACACACTTTAATCATTTATGATGATCTCTCCAAACAAGCCCAAGCTTATCGCCAAATGTCTCTTCTATTACGTAGACCACCTGGTCGCGAAGCTTACCCAGGAGATGTCTTTTATTTGCACTCACGTCTTTTGGAAAGAGCCGCTAAATTAAGTTCTAAGTTAGGGGAGGGCAGTATGACTGCCTTACCTATAGTAGAAACGCAATCGGGAGATGTTTCTGCTTATATTCCTACTAATGTAATTTCTATTACTGATGGACAAATATTCTTATCCGCCGATCTATTTAATGCTGGAATAAGACCTGCTATTAATGTGGGTATCTCTGTTTCCCGAGTGGGGTCTGCAGCTCAAATTAAAGCCATGAAAAAGGTAGCTGGTAAATTAAAATTAGAACTCGCCCAATTCGCTGAATTAGAAGCCTTTGCCCAATTTGCTTCTGATCTCGATAGAACTAGTCAAAATCAATTAGCAAGAGGTCAACGTTTGCGCGAATTGCTTAAACAATCCCAATCCGCTCCTCTCACGGCGGCAGAGCAGATTATTACTATTTATGCTGGAATAAATGGGTATCTTGATTCATTAGAACTTGGACAGATCAGCAAATTTCTTATTAAGTTATATACTTATTTCAAAACTAATAAACCTCAGTTCCAAGAAATCATATCATCTACTAATACATTTACCGATGAAGCAGAAGCCCTTTTGAAAAAATATATTCCGGACCAAAAGGATCGGTTTCTACTTCAAGAAAAACTTTAAATAACTACTTCAATCAAGAAATTCAAACACAATAAAGATATATGAAAAAATTGCGCCCAATAGGATTTGAACCTATACCAAAGGTTTAGAAGACCTATGTCCTATCCATTAGACAATGGACGCTTTGATGCTCCTTTTTTTCATCTTACCCCTCAAAATTATTTGTAAAAATAAATAATCAGATCAGATTCAAGGTGATTTTTATATTCCCCTTCAACAAGATTCTCATTCATGAGCATCTACAAATAAATCTTTCAAATTAGAATCATTTTTATTCAATATGAAATTCAAAATGATTTTCTACTTCCTTAGAAAACAACGCCCGGTGGAGTAAGGACCGGGCCGTGCGAACAAGAATAAACTTTTCAACATTTCAAAAATTAAATAAAAAATCCAAAGAAAACATCTTCTAACTCTTAATTTAGATTTTTCTAAAATAATATAAAAATAATATAATAAGAAGATTTTAATAATGAATTAAAGAATAGATTTAAAAGCATAATCCAAATAAAAAAAATTACTGAGTTCTATGTGTATTATAAAATAAGAATTCTCTAAATAAAATTTGGAGAGATGGCTGAGTGGACGAAAGCGTCGGATTGCTAATCCGGTGTACGAGTTTTTCGTACCGAGGGTTCGAATCCCTCTCTTTCCGTTTTTGTGGATCGTATTATTTCCGTTATTTTTTTTTTTGAAAAATTTTAAAATTCGTTTTATTTTATTCTTCACGTCCAGGATTACGCCTTGGATCATTAGATAGGAACCCAAATATAAATAGAGAAACAAAAAAGATGACTACTGTGTATACGAATAGTTTTAGAGTAAGCATTAAAAATCTCCAATATTTTTTATTGAAAAAAAATAAATAGAATATATTTTCTATTTTGAGACCACATATGTAATATAGGTACCAAGAAACAAAGTTGAAATCAAGTTAATTTTCTAAACAAAAAAATTTCATAAATCAAATTTAAATAAGAGTTTGCCAAATTAAATATGGGGAATGGTCCTAATCCTAGTAAAGCAAGGAATTTCTTATTTGACTCAATTTTTTAATTAAGTATTTCATCGAAAACTAACAACAGCCTGCCAAACAAAAGCTACAAGAAAAAACAGAACAGGTATGATTGGCATAAAATCGACGATTGGATTCAAAAAAGCATAAGATTCGGGTAATTTGCCGAATAAAAAACTGCTCGAATAGAAGACATAATTAAGACAGATAAAACTAAGCATAAAAAACATTTTTTTTTAGATAATGAATTATTGAGATATGATATTTATATAATTCATATGAATATAAAATTATATACAATTTGTAGAGCGGGCGCAAAATATTGATTCCTCTTTTTCTTTGGACCCTTCACAATGCTATAAATATTTCAATATTTTTAATATATTATAATAAAATATACAATATATGAATATACAGAATAAATCAATTGATACATAAAAAAACACCAGAACCATAGAATCCAATTGATATTCATTTGAAATTCAATAGACAAACATCAAATGGTTATTTAATTTTTGAAGTATTGAATATCAGTAAAAGTGGGGCGTGGCCAAGTGGTAAGGCAACGGGTTTTGGTCCCGGAATTCGGAGGTTCGAATCCTTCCGTCCCAAACCTTTTTGATCTTTTTTTTCTATCAAATATAAATAGTCTATTGAGATAGAAATAATAGAGAGAAAGGAATCTATCTAACTAAGTAAATTATATAGAGAACCTAAATGGATAGTATGTTTAGAGAAAACTCGAACCAATACTAGAGACTTTTCAGGATTCCCTGATTTAATCAAGTACATATTGGTTCCAAATTATAATAAATAATATTATGGTCCAATGTTGTTTGCAACAATGTGGTATAAAGCAACGTGTCACTTTAAAGATGAAAACCAAGATCCTTTATCTTGTTACATCCACCATTTTTCTTTTTTTATAAAGAAAATAATAGGTTATTCGCTTGATAGCAGTGAATCTGTTCCATATGATAGAAAGAATGCTCTTTTGTAATAGTTTGTAATAGAACGAAATTTTAATGTATATTTTAATGTATATAGTTAGGGTTTTTTTGTAAAAAAAAATAAAAAAAAAAGGAGGAACTTAAAATAGATTTACAGCTAGAGAGATCGAAAGAACAGAATTTCCTGTATCCACTTTTATTTCAGGAGTATATTTATGTCCTTGTTCATGATCGTGCTTTAAGTGGGTTAAAAGGATCAATTTCTGCTAAAAATATAGGCTATACAAAAAAATTTAGTTTTCAAATTGTGAAACGCTTAATTACTCAAATGTATCAACAGATACAGCTCACTCATTATTATTCTAAAAAAAGTCAAATTTTTAGAACCAGCAAGTTTTTCTATTGTAACCAGTTAGCTGAGGTTTTTGCTTTTATTTTGGAAATTCCGTTTTCTTTAAGATTCATATCATCAGAGCGCAAAAAAACGAAACTCTTAAAATGTAATAATTTACGGTCAATTCATTCCATATTTCCCTTTTTTGAAGACAATTTATCACATTTAAATTTGGTATTAGATCTACTAATCCCCTCCCCCCCCTCATCAGGAAATTGTGGTTCAAATAATTCGGTATTGGGTAAAAGAGGCTTCTTCTTTACATTTATTACGCTTCTTTCTATATGAGTTTTATAATTTTCAAAATTTGAATAATCCCAATAGGTCCCATTACCTTTTTACAAAAAGACCTGAGCGGCTTTTCTTCTTATTATATAACTCTTATTTATATGAATATGAATCCGTTTTTGTCTTTCTCCGCAACCAGTCTCTTCATTTCAAAGCAATCAGTTTTCGAGCACTTTTGGAACGGAATATTTTCTATGGAAAAATAAAATGCCTTTTAGAAGTATTTGAAGAGGATTTTCCTGCAAGTATCCGTTTGTTTAAAGGCTCCGGATCTTTCAATGCATTATGGTAGGTATAGGGGAAAGTCAATTATGGCATCAAAAGGAACATTTCTTTTGATATCAAAATGGAACTATTATATTTTAAAATTTTGGGAATCTTATTTTTCTATTTGGTTCCATACTGGAAGAATAAATAGAAATCAATTATCCATCCATTCTTTTTCATTTATGAATTATCTTTCAAGTATTGTATTAATCCCTTCAATAATACGAAGTCAAATGTTAAATAATTCATTTTTAATAAAAAATGCTATTAATCAATTTGATACTGTTGTTCCAATTATTCCTATCCTAGGATCCCTAGCTAAAGCTAAATTTTGTAATATACTTGGGAATCCCATTAGTAAACCGGGTTGGATCGACTTCTCAGATTCTGAGATTATTCAAAGGTTTGGGCGGATATGCCGAAATTTTATTCATTATTATAGTGGTTCTTCCAAAAAAACCAGTTTGTATCAAATAAAGTATATACTTAGGCTTTCTTGTGCTCGAACTCTAGCTCGGAAACACAAAAGTACTGTACGCGATTTTTTACAAAGCTTGGGCTCGGAATTTTTAGAAGAATTTTTTACATCGGAAGAACAAATTTTTTATTTTACGTTTTCAAATGCTTCTTCAAATTGGAGTCGAGTTTATAAAAGGCGGATTTGGTATTTTGATATTGTTTGTATCAAAGAGCAGATTAATTTTTAAAAATTCATGTATATTGTCAAATTCAAATTTTTACCAAATTATGAAGAGATGCAAAAATTTTTATTTTTACAAAAGTCTAATTCAAGGGTAAGCTTAGTTCTCACTTTTTTAAAATTTATATAGATAATAGATAATTTATATATATAAGAACACTTATTCACAAAAACATTCTTTACTCGAACTAACTAGTTCCGGATTGTAATTATGAGTACCTAATCGTCATGCTTAAATGAGATGGAGAAAATTCACTTGACTTAAAGCGGAATCAAATTAGATAGCTCTATTGGTTGACACGAATATCTAAGTCGTGTTATACTGTTGAATAACAAGCCTTTATTTCTTCTATTTTTTTTTTATTTCGTGTGCTTGGGAGTCCCTGATTATTAAATCAACCAAGAATTGATCATGACTGCAGTTTTAGAGAGACGCGAAACCCAAAACTTATGGGGTCGTTTCTGTAATTGGATAACTAGCACTGAAAATCGTCTTTACATTGGATGGTTTGGTGTTTTGATGATCCCGACTTTATTGACCGCAACTTCTGTATTTATTATTGCCTTCATTGCTGCTCCACCAGTAGATATTGATGGTATTCGTGAACCTGTTTCTGGATCTCTGCTTTACGGAAACAATATTATTTCAGGTGGCATTATTCCAACTTCTGCAGCTATAGGATTACATTTTTACCCAATATGGGAAGCGGCATCCATTGATGAATGGTTATATAATGGTGGTCCTTATGAACTAATTGTTCTACACTTCTTACTTGGTGTAGCTTCTTATATATGGGGCGTGAGTGGGAACTTAGTTTTCGTTTGGGTATGCGCCCTTGGATTGCGGTTGCATACTCCGCTCCGGTCGCAGCTGCTACCGCAGTTTTCTTAATCTATCCAATTGGTCAGGGAAGTTTTTCTGATGGTATGCCCCTAGGAATCTCTGGGACTTTCAATTTCATGATTGTATTTCAGGCTGAGCACAATATTCTTATGCACCCATTTCATATGTTAGGCGTAGCTGGTGTATTTGGCGGTTCCCTATTCAGTGCTATGCATGGTTCCTTGGTAACTTCTAGTTTGATCAGGGAAACCACAGAAAATGAATCGGCTAATGAAGGTTACCGATTTGGCCAAGAGGAAGAAACTTATAATATAGTAGCCGCTCATGGTTATTTTGGACGATTAATTTTCCAATATGCTAGTTTCAATAATTCTCGTTCATTACACTTCTTTTTAGCTGCTTGGCCTGTAGTAGGTATTTGGTTCACTGCTTTAGGTATCAGCACTATGGCATTCAATTTAAATGGGTTCAATTTTAATCAATCCGTAGTTGATAGCCAGGGCCGGGTAATTAATACTTGGGCTGATATAATTAATCGTGCTAACCTAGGTATGGAAGTTATGCATGAACGTAATGCTCACAACTTCCCTCTAGACCTAGCTGCTATCCAAGTTATAGCTACAAATGGCTAGAGACTTTGTCTCTTAGTATATAGATAGGGAATCTATTTAAAATAGAATAAAGGAGCAATTCCGCCTTCTTGTCTAGAACAAGAAAGTGGTTATTGCTCCTTTATTGATTCCTTTTTGAAAAGAACATATTTTAGTTGGGGGCGGATGTAGCCAAGTGGATTAAGGCGGTGGATTGTGAATCCACTATGCGCGGGTTCAATTCCCCGTCGTTCGCCCATCACTCTAATTTCCGTTTCGATAAATTCTATAAATGGGTAAAAGATATGAGTGAAAGTAAATAACATGCCGCTATGGTGAAATTGGTAGACACGCTGCTCTTAGGAAGCAGTGCTAGCGCATCTCGGTTCGAGTCCGAGTAGCGGCATAAAAAATAAGAGTAATCTTTTGTTCTTTTTCATTTTTTTTTCTTATCTAATTCAGAGTTAAAATCTTATTTTATTTTTTTTAATAATTTTTTATGATAGTTTCAACCTTAGAACATATACTAAGTAATATTTCACTTTCAATAATACTCGTTTCAATTTTTAATTAAAATTTATTTGAGAATCTTTTTCGTCGATGAAAACATAAAACTTTCTAATTCATCAGAAAAGTGCATTTTCATAACTTTTTTATGTATAACAGGATTATTAGCTACTCATTGGATTTCGTCAGGCCATTTCCCACTAAGTGATTTATCGGAATCTTTGCTTTTTCTTTCCTGGAGTTTTGCTCTTATTAATAGCCTTTCCTATTTAAAAAAAAATACAAAATTATTAAGTACAATAATAAGCCCAATTGATTTTTCTATCCAGGCTTTTGCTACTTCGGGTCTTTTCACAGAAATTAAGAAATATTCAATATTAGTCCCCGCTCTTCAATCTCAGTGGTTAATAATGCACGTAAGTATGATGATAGTGGGTTACGCAGCTCTTATATGTGGCTCCTTATTATCAGTAGCACTTATGGTCATTACCTTTAGAAAAAATGAAATATTTTTCAAATGAATTATATTTTTTCGGCTAACAATTTTTATAAGATTCAATTAAGTAAAGAATTAGATTATTGGAGTTATCGAGTTATTAGTTTAGGGTTTATCTTTTTAACCATAGGAATACTTTCGGGGGCTTTGTGGGCGAACGAAGCGTGGGGATCTTATTGGAGTTGGGATCCAAAAGAGACTTGGGCTTTTATTACTTGGATAGTGTTTTCAATTTATTTACATACTCGAAGAAATAGAACTTTTGAAGGTGCTACTTCGGCAATTGTGGCATCTATAGGTTTTCTTATTATTTGGATATGCTATTTTGGAGTCAATTTAATTGGATTAGGTCTACATACTTATGGTTCATTTTCGCGAACATAAAAAGATTTTATTCTTTAATATTTGAATCTTTGGAATAAATAAAAAAAAAAGACATTAATTTTTTACTTCGTGAAAAGCTAAAAATTTATGAAACCCGTGCTACAAAATATGAAATATTTTTTATTTAGAGCACGGGTTTTCAATAAAAATAGAATGAATTCAAATATACTTTTCTGGACCAGATCAATAAGCGAGACCCATACTGCGAGTTGTTTCATGCCATAAATAAACTCGAACACTCAAGAAATCTGTTGGGCAAGCGGATTCACACCTCTTACAGCCTACGCAATCTTCTGTTCTCGGAGCAGAAGCAATTTGTTTAGCCTTACATCCGTCCCATGGTATCATTTCTAAAACATCGGTGGGGCAGGCTCGAACACATTGAGTACATCCTATACATGTATCATAAATCTTTACAGAATGTGCCATTGAACGAATAAATTTATAAATTTTATGAATTATCGATATAGTATCCTCCAAATATTATTTTTATGCAATATAAAATTAGAAGATACTTGGTTTTTAGATACTATATGACTCAATGAATTTTCAGAAGAATTCTAATCACTAGATTTCTGGATTGGTTTTAAAAATAAAAAAAAAATTATTTTATGTTTTTTGGTAAATTATTATCAATTTTTATGTTTTAATATTATCATTTTTTTTATAACTACGCAAACTACCTAATAGGGTAAAAAAGGATTCTTTTTTGAATTAACTAAATCTGCCGTTTTAAAGTTTTAAATAAAAAATCCCTTCAAATTTATACAGTAAGAATCAATAGACAAAAGGACATGATGTCTTTCTATTCACTACCCTGAGCTATTCTTTTGTAATTGTTTCAGTACCCAGACTGTAGTTCTAAAATTTACGTATAAAATAGGTTCTAAAAGCTATACAACTTCAAAATGAATGAGTTTTTGTCTCTCTAATCTCCAATTTATCAATTAATTCTTTATAGCGCAATGTATTTTTTTTTGATAAATAAGCTAAAAGTCGTTGTCGTTTCCCCCAAAATTTTACGTAAACCTTTTTGAGATAAATAGTCTTTTTTATGCAATTTCAAGTGGGAAGTAAGCCGGTGTATTCTATTGGTGAAATTCCATATTTGAAATTCAACGGAACCTCTGTTTTGTTGGTTTTGGTTTTTATAAATAGTCGAAAGAGATAAGTTTTTTATCATAAACTAAATGAACTCCCTTCATTGATATATAATATGCATTTAAAATAATTTTTTATAATTAAGTTATAGATTTATTTCATAGATATGAAATAATTGATTAGTAACTAAAACGAACTAACGAAAAATAAAGAAAGAAAATGATAAGAAAAAAGAAGAAATATTATACAAGAAATCAACTTGACAGAAATGAATCCAATGTTTTTTTATTTTTTTTGTAAAAAAAACTTGTAAACTTACCCGTTAAAAGAGATTTTGCTAATGAAAGAGCTTTTAATCTTACCTCAATAGTCTTTCTTTTCCAAATGTTCTTACGAATACGCTTTTTGGCTTTCGAAATACGTTTTTTTGGAACTGCCATTTAAAATGATTTACAGGTTATCACTGGATGTGAAAGACATTTATTGCTAAAAAAGAATTCTTCTAACTCAAGTCTATCAATTCAAATCAAAAGAAAACCCTCTCTTTTCGGGTTCATTAATAAAATAAAAGTGAATTATTTCAACTTAATATTCTTTGGATGAGGGAGAAAGTATCTATATAGATCTAAATAAATATATGGTATCCTCGATTCAGTTAGATACAAATTAAAATAAGGTATATTTCCATTCATTGCTTTTCATCTAACCTGGTACCATCTACCCTGCTAGAGGGTAGATAGTACTACTATCAATTAAATTTCCACCAATTAAATTTCAATGGTAAATACATATGGATCCTTAACATACTGAAACGACTCCCATTATTAGTATTAAACCAATAACGATTCATACAAGCTAAATCTTCCAATCGATAATTAGGCCAAAGAAAAAATTCAATCAATTTATTCGGATCCTTATGCCGAGGGTTACTTTCCTCCCAAACTTGATTTTTGTTGGAAACTAGAGAATTTGCATCCACGCCATTCCATTTGTTTGAATTGAAACAAATTAGAGTTCTTAATTCTCTACGACGCCTAGATGATAAAAATATTTTCAATAAGAAGCGGATCACAATTATTGTTCTCTTCAGCGCGAATTATTCGTTGTTTTACGTATTTTTGATTAAGAATTTCTTTACTCTTATGAACCAATGAAAGAACTATGGTTTGATACATAAGAAATTCTCCGTTTGGTTTGATAGACAGCGGAAGGGGGGTCAAACCAAAAATCCCGTCCTTTTTAAAAATTCTGGAACACTCTCTTTTGAATCCGCAACACTCTGTTTTGAATCTCGAACATTTCTTTTTGAATTTTTTGAATCTGGAACACTCTGTTTTGAATCTGGAACACTCTGTTTTGAATCTGGAACATTTCTTTTTGAATTTTTTGAATCTTGAATACTCTCTTCCTGATTCATCTGTGGCATTAGACCCAAATTTAACTTTTCCCCTTTGAATCCATGATAGCATCATTTTTTTTCGATTTAGCATTCTAAGCAAGAGACAATAGATCTGGAGATCTTGGAAAAGGCCTTGATTAAAAGTAACATCCTCATCCTCTCTAAATTGAAAAAATAAATAATTTTTCAGGAATAACTCTAGTTCTATCTCAGTTTGACTTTTCTTTTCACCTTCAGTTTCCCCTTCAGTTTCCCCCTGGGTTTCCCCTTCAGTTTCACCTTTGGTTTCACCTTCAGTTTTCCCTTTGGTTTCACCTTTGGTTTCACCTTTGGGTTTCACCTTTGGTTTCACCTTTAGTTTCCCCTTTGGTTTGACCCTCGGCTTTATCTTTTTTTTTACTCTCAGTTTTACCTTTGGTTTCACCCTCAGTTTTCTTTTTATCCTTTTTATCTTTGTTTTTATTCTTAATTTTACCGATCTTTTGATTCGTCATTTCATCATTGAGATTCAAATTAGAAATAAGTGATTGGCTTGGTATAATCCATGGTTTCATTTTATATATATTAACAAACCACAGAAATTCTGGGAAGACCGAAAGTTCCTCAGCCGTTAATGGACGGTCGAGTATTGCTTCAATTCAGTCCCATCCAATCCAATAAAGAATTTTTAGAATTTACTAGATTCCTTTCTTCGGTATTTGTCTGAATCAAAAGAGCAAAAGGATCTTTTTCATTTTTAAAAATTTGCTCAATTTTCACAATCTCTTCCATTCTATCAATTAATTGATAATTATAAGTGAAAATTGGAGTACTTTGAGTATTGTTATCATTACCCCGTGATCCAGGACTCAATATCCGCTTTTTTATCAAGAGAAAAATTAATCTTTTTCAAATTTAAATATTTTCTCTCTAAATTTTTTGTCTGTATAGGGGATATTGACCCTTTCTATTTTTTCTCTGAAACTAGTGATAGGAAGATTTTTCGTTATCGCAAACAAGTTGTTTTGTGACATCTTGTAATGATAAGAAATCGTTTCCCGTTTAGCTCCTGGAGGGGGTCCACTATTTTTTTCATACTGAATGTATTGATATGCTAAAAGATCATATTGACAGCATTTTTTAAAATTATCTTTTTTTTTTTTATTAAATACTGAGTTAGCATCCTTTTGTTTCCTGTAATTATTTAATTTTAATTTTCTACTGGAATTCCTTTTGTGTAAATCTTTTTGTTTAGACCTACGATAGCGATTCGCCCTATTTCTCCATTTTTGTTTTTGTGATCTTAAGGCAGACCAGAAATTAGGAGATAAATCGTATTGAGAATTCCCTCTTAACCAAAATTTCCATTGACTCGTTCTAGACCGCTTAAGTTCTTTTTTATTCCTTCAGATTGAAGTATTCCTTGTTTATGAAATGAGTCTTTTATTTTTTTTTTAATAAAGAAATTCTTTTCAATCAAGAAAGATGTTCCATTTTGTTGAAGAACAGACATCAAATTAGATACGTTCAAAAAACTCCTTTGTGATATTTTGTACAATACATATGCTTGTGACAAGTTAGATAAATCACCAAAATTCTCTGGCTTTTCCTTATAACGCTTATTATTATGCGTTTTTATATTTGAAAGAGAGTTCATTTTTGTTGATTCCACAAAGAGTTTTTCAGTCATTTGGCAAATAGATATAGTATATAAAAAAATATAGTTAGATATTCTTTGAATCAATAATTTTATAAAATAATGAAATTTATATCTTAATCTATTTTTTTTTATTTTTAACATTTGACAAAAATTTTTTGACAAGGCTAATCTCGAACTTTTTTTGTAAGGGCTCATATCTAGTTCTAGAGTCAGCCTTTTCTTATCTTCCGGTAATTCTTTCTAGTTTTTTTTTAATTGTATTTGTCCTATGAGTAATAGCCTGTATTTTGTCTATCGGTGAATAATTTTTCCAATCTGTAATTTTTTCAATTTTACTCAAGGGTTGATTCATTATCTGGTTATTTATTTGATCATCTTTTTCTTTTTTTATTAAACTCGGGTGTATTGTTCTTTTTTCGTTTGAACTTGTTTTTTTTTTTTGAAAACTTTTTTAAAAATTTGATTTTTACTTTTACAAATTTGTAAAGTTCCTTAAAAACAGGCTCGAAAAACGAAGGTGTTTGTCGTGGATGACCAAAAGGGTGTTCTGTTTCCCTTCCCCAAACTGTTAAAAAACAAAAGTCATCACGAGAAGTTAGTGATTTATATTCGTGCCAAGGTTTTTAGACAGAAAGGAAATAAAATTTTGATTTGAATACCTTCTGTCAACCAATTTTCCGGAAATTTTTTGTCAGCTAACGGAATACCATTATAAGTACACTTCACATGCGTTTCTTTATTCCATCCCTTTAAATCTTCAGACCATTCAGGAGTTTGAAATAGTAGCATACGCCCTATATTTTTCCCGATTATGAATGAAGGTAATAGAATTTTTTTTTCTCAGAATTGATTGGGTTATTAATAACAAACCTCTTATTATTTGGGTATATGGGAAAGTTTCCCAGGCTTCCCCTATCTCTAACCGTTCTATTTCCTCTCGTCGTTTCTTTTCCTTTTTGGTTTCTCTTTTTATTATTGTTTTTTTTTCCTCTGTAGACTCTAAAATACCGAACTCGTTTCTGGATGACCATTTTATAAAAAGTCGTTTCAGTTGAGCCAGGTATGGTATAGAAAAAAAGGTTTTTTTCCTCATCCTGTCAAAAAAGAGAGGGGAATGCGCATTTGCTTTAAAAAGTCCCTCAATAACTATTTTACGTCTTTGAGTTCGCATAGAGTCTTTTATTAAGCCTTGGCGAAAATCAGATTGGTGCGGATATCGTAACAAATAAAGCTTATTATCCTCATCTTCCTTTTTCTTTTTCATATTTTTATCTTTCTCATCATTGTCGGATTTTATAGCTTGAATATTTGTCTCTTTTGTATTCTTATCTTTGTTTGTAGTCTTATCTTTGAGAGTCTTAGGCTCTTCAAAAATTAATACACTTATCCCTTTTCTTGAACGAATATCATGATCATCTGGTGGATTTCTAAAATACGATATTTGTTCCAATTCAGTTATTAATTTGTATGACCATCCGGGGACTTTTTTACCAATCTCTTCTTTACCTATTTTTTCTATTGCAGAATATTTTTTATCGTCTGTCTCAATTACATTTACTAAAAATTTTGTTAGTTGTTCTGAATCCGTTAAATTGAAACTCGATGATAAAGTTGAGAACTCACCAACTTGTAATGGTTTTTTTTCCTTTTTTTCAAAAGGAGACATCAACAATAAAGCATGAAGTCTATTTAGCATAACCTTCTCTCTCAACTTTTTGATCGAAGTCTCGTTTATCAACGTTATATCTTTTTTTAGTCTTCCGCGGGAAGGGCCCATTTAACAAGGGATCATACTCTTCTGGTAAGTATTCTTTTCTAGTCTCATCATTGTGTATACATAATCGCGTTTTGGTTGTTTCAATTTCTAGTATTGGGACTGATACTGGTTTGTCAAGATTTTTAATTCGATTTAACAAATCAATTTTTATAGAATTTAATTTTTGTTTGTTTCTAGAAACCCAAAAATTGTCCAATTTATTAGAAATATCTTTTTCTAATGATAAAAGGGGTATCTTTTTTTTGATTATTTGAAAAAACGTTGATAAACTTATCGGATGGGTAAAAGATATTCTATCTTTTCCATCACTTTTATGTATGTCAAAGAAATATTGTGCCATTTCGTTTCTTACCGCTTGTTCAAGTCTATTATTTTTTATGTAGCGAAATGGCCGAGTCCATCTTTTATAATCAAAAAGAAGAGCCACAATATGTTCTTTATTTTCATATTTTTCAAGGATTTCCAATTCAGAATCAGATCCTTCCAAGTCCGGTTCGTTTACTTTCAAGTCCAATTCTTTTTCCAAAATACCCTTTTCTTCGGAAAAAAGGGAAGGATCTTCTTCAGTGGATTTCTTTTTTTTTTTCTACGTCTTTTTCTTCCTCCTTTTGCAACCTTTCCTTTTCCCTTTGTTCTATTTTTGAGACCTCACTAAATTTCTGAGTAGGAATAGGTAAGGGTGTTCTGCCTAAAGACTGAATACTTAGAATACATACTATACTTCCAAAACTACAATTTAGTAAAATAAAAAAGATAGAATTTCTGACTAGGTACTTTCTAATAACATTATTTTTATGTATCCAGATTACTAAATTTTCTGTATCCAGACTACTAAAAATTCCAAGCAATTGATGACTAAAATTTGTCCAATTCCCCAAGCAAAAAAACTGCTTATTACAAACAACATCTTATTGTTACAGCGAAACAGATAAATGCTTACTAATCGGGCTAACGTTGAACTTGGTAAAATACAAATGTTAAGCAACTGAAAAATAAGATGATTGAGGAATAC